TGCGAGAGCTCGGCTCACGACCACTCCCTGGAGTCCCGGATCTCGCCGGATCCGCCGGGGATCCCCCCGGGAGCCAAGTGACGCGTGAGTGAGCACGACTAGGCACGACTAGGCCCCATGGGACAACCTCTGCTTCCAAGCGGCAGCCGCCCGTACCTTCCTTCTTGATCTTGTCGTTGATGTTGTTGATGTAGATTGTGTGGTTCGGCCTGATGTCCATCCTGAGGACCCGCCTGCGGGCACAGCACACGGGGGGGGGGGCGCGTTAGCGGCTGCGAGCCCCGCGCCGGATACACCGCACAACCCTGGGCAGCGGCGCCGCGGGTCGGGGGGTCTGGGGGCTGCCGGACTGTCTGTCTGCCTGCCCGCTCACCTGGATCCCGGCTCCCAGCCCCACTTCTCCCCTCGCGTCCCCCCTCACCTCTCCCTCCTCCCGCCAAGATGGCGGCCGACGCAGCGCAGGCGGCACAGCCGCTCCCGCAGCAGTCGATGCACCGACTGCCGATGACGCCGATGGGCAGCAGGATAAAAAGGAGACAAAAGCGAGATGAGGATAAAAGGGATAAGAGGGAGATGGGAATAAAAGGGATACAAGTTTGTTGCCGGCCCCAAGGAAGTCGCAGCGAGGCTAGGAATTGGCCCCCAAATGGACATTGCTGCCCCGGGGTTTAGCTCTGTCCTGTGCTAAGAGTGATAAGCAAAGAGAAGGGGGGGGGGGGGGGGGGTGTTATCTCCTTCGCAACCTAAAACAGCAGCTTTTGAAAGCATAAACTCATAGAATGGTTTGGGTTGGATGGGACCTCAAAGACCATCTCATTCCAACCCCACTGCCATGGGCAGAGACACCTTCCACTAGTCCAGGTTGCTCCAAGCCCCATCCAACCTGGCCTTAAACACTTCCAGGGATGGGGCATCCGCAGGTTCTCTGGGCAACCTGTGCCAGGGCCTCACCACCCTCACAATAAAGAATATTTTCCTGATATCTAATCTAAATCTACCCTCCTTCAGGTTAAAACCATTCCCCCTTGTCCTGACACTACATGTCCTTGTAGATACCCCTTCAGGTACTGAAAGGCCACAATTAGGTCACCCTGGAGCCTCCTCTTCTCCAGGCTGAACAATCCAAATTCTCCCAGCCTTTCGTTATAGTAAAGGTGCTTCATCCCTCTAATCACCTCTGAACTCATCCCACAAGTCCACATCCTTCCTCTGCTGGTGACCCCAGAGCTGGATACAGCACTCCAGGAGGGGAGAAAGCAGCAACTTCAAAATGTCTGTAGACACTCATTAGTTAACTTTTGTTTCTAGCTTTGATATTGGAAAGGCAAGGTATCAGCGCGTGTAATTTCTCGGAGGTACTTCAAAAATCCCTGTGACGGTGCTACCTCAGGATAAATAAACAGAGGTTGCAGCCCTTGAATTTTTGGAATAATTTTGCAGGCTGCATGCCTTCATTTCTATGAATAATTAGGCAGGCTTTTAGGGAAACAATTTTAAATTGCAAAGATTTAATCTGGTTACATATAAAAAAGAAGTTCTTGCAGTGGGGGATATAATCAGTAAGGTAGTTCTCTTCTAACCACAAATTTTGTTTGGACAGGCCATCACTTTGTAAAGAGGCAAGAATATTAGGTAGAATTATTGTTTCAGTTATATTTTATGGAAAAAACCCCAACATTACTCCAGATTCTAGAGTATTTAGGAGGCCTATAAAGGAAACATGGGTTAAAGGGAATTGAATGTAAAAGGCAAAGACAAAAAAGCTGTTGATTGAGGTGTTATTCACTGGTGGAAGAAAACTGTGTTCTGCAGTTGTTTTACAGCAGGGTGTGGTGTGGGAAATGGTGCGTTAGCTGATGCCTTATACAATGCACACATGCCACAAATTCAGAATATGGCAGGCAGCAGTTCTGGTCAAATTTTAGAGTCCTATTTATCTGTCTTTGGTTATTATCTTAGAGATAGTTGTTGACATAAAGTGTAACTCTGAAATCCAAGCATGAACAATATATTAAAATGCTTTTTCAGAAAGGCTGGCTGTGCTGTTTTGTGACTTGATCAGCAGTACAATCCATGTACACTTATAATTTAGTAACAATGTTCAAAACTACTTATTTGTTATTGAGTCCACATAGCTAAGGGAATTGGTCTGGCAGAATCAAAAATCTTGATGTTTTATAAATGATTTCTGAATAAAGTCCTTCAAGTGTCCATAGAGAAGAGACTCTAAAGAAAAAAAAATTACAAAAAATCCCTCAACTTACTGCAAAGCAAGGAAGAATTCATGGCTTCTGTAATTCATCCGCCACAGGCTGCCACACTCATGCTTGCTCAGAGTCACTTTAAGCTCAACTGATTTACTCCTGCAGAATTTGAATGCAATAAAGCAGAAAAAGTGTGTCTTTCCTGCTCCTCAGGTGAGATTTCCCAGTCTGCCTGCCACTTCAACAGAAGTGACTTTCATTCCTCAGGCTGGCTTCCTCCTCCCTTCCCCAAGGTTCATTTGGATTACTTCTGTTTCCTCAATCCTCAAACAGAGGTATAGTGTTCTCACATTTACTAAAACAGTCATTTATTTAAAGGTCCCTGAATGCTTGAAGTATTGTAAAAATTATTTAAAGTTTCTTAGCAAAAGTGCCTGTAGCATCTTAGTAAGCAGTGATTCACCGATATAACAGGCTAGGAACATGCTTTCAGCTTGGACATGTACCTGTTTCATCGGAGGTTGTCGAACAGCACCGGAGAAACAAAACAAAGGGCACACGGTTCTTGAAAATATCTTTGTAGCCACTTCTCTTCCCCTTCCTGCCCTCTGCTTAAGGTCAAGGAAACCCAGCATTTCATTATTATTGTTGCTGTTTGTTATGAAACCTGTAATAAAAATCAGATTTTTTTCCCCCTTCATCTTCCTTTTCTAAATTCAATGAAGTTCTCTGAGGTAAAAAGAACAATAACAAAGAGCTGTGCATGCTGGAAGTTCTGCAGTATCCTCGTGGCTGTGATTTGGGCCACAGAAAGGGATGCTTCACACTTCTCGTTGTTGTTATTTCCTGTATGAAGACTGTGGAATAAGCAAAGTTTTCTTAGTTTATCAGTACAGGAATATTTTCATCTTACCTATGTGTGTGTAATCACAACCACACACTAGAAAGAAACGCGAGTGGAAATGTTTTGTGATATGGATTTGTCTGCACTATTTTTGTTCTGCCCTTTGACTGCCCACTTCTTCTGTGTCAAGGAGTAAGGTAATATACAATCATTAGATATTGGAGCATGGACAAAGACAGTGAGGGAAACGACAGGAAATAAGGAAATTCCCTAGCAAGTACAAGCAGTGGTGCTGTGAGCACTTGCAAAGTCAACGTACATGAAGCCTCACATTTAAGACAGAAAAGGTTCTTTGAAGGGTGAACAACTTTGAGATCTATATTCATTTGGAAGCTGTGAAAGGGAAGGAATTGCTCCCTACAAATCGGGTTGCTGAGCAGTCGGACCGGCTGCCTTTGCCCAAAGGACGGAGGAGTCTGCAGTGATTTACAGATCATTGTTTGCAGGCTCAGGATATGTGATCTCTGTAAGCTAACAAAGCAGAGAGAATGGACAACATGATGGCAGAACAAATTTAGTATTGACAAGTGCTTGGAAAAGCGTTTGGAAAAGAATCGCTTGAACCACCTGAATTAACTGTAACCTGGCTAACCCCCTTTGGGGGACAATAAAACACCTAGGAGTAGGGAGAGAGGCAAACAAAAACACCATATGGAAGGAGGAAAATATACTGCAGTTCCTTTAATAAGGCTGTTTCATAAAAAAACTAAAAAGATGCTTGAGTGTATTACTGCTTGATCTAAAATAAAAGAACCTCCACACATTCATGTGACATTTATAATTGGCAGCTTGTGCTTTTAATTATTTAATACATTGCCTGACAGACAGTAATGTAGTCAAAGGGAAGAGTACACCATCACAACCAATTATTTATCACTGCTATTTCAGAGGAAAATCATTCTATCATGGTTAATCCAACCATGATAGGTTAATTTGCTTGTTCTCTTGACCAAGTCACCCTTACCAAGGGAAACAATAGCATTGAATTTTATTTCTTCGGGCACACTTCTAGTTTATGGCAACAGAAAACAGTTGCAATGTTCAAAAGAAATAAGTTATCATTGTTAAGTGAACCAGAATTAAATTTTAGGTGCTTATATTCACACTTAATTAGTCATATCCAGCATAAACTGGTAAATTAGTATATTTCACTTTTTGTGTTTCATAAGCATGCTCAGAAAAAATAACATACACCTCTAGACTGGCCTTTCCTTTATGGGGAGCCTGTTCCCTCTCAGGCCAATTTTTTGCTACTGGCAATTTCAGGGCCTTGCATCTCTTACATTACACTGCTGCCCCAGTCCCCTGGGGCAAAAGCTCATCTGAAACTGCAAGTTTCAAGTATTCAGCTCCTCATGTTTGCTATATTTATCATCATGGTGATTCCCAATTAGTTTTTGTATGCTAATATACTGAAAAAGATGAAATGTGGGTAGCGCTCTTAATTTCATACAGATGGTTCCAATTTAGTTCAGGGTGCTGGGGTTGTCCTTTTATTAGCATTAATTGGTGACAGTGCCATTTGTCCACACTGTAACTCTGAGAAGAATAGCAGAGCTCTGGTTTGATTTATTGTTTTGCAAGAACACTTACATTCCTTCCATTTTCTTTCAGTCTGGGTTAATTTATTTTTTTTTTTTAGTTTAGCTGGAATCAACATATTAACAGTGTAAGTGGTGTGACTTACACTGAGCATTTGAATTCAATACTTTTGAATCCTCATACATGTGTGACATTGCAGTATAATAAAACCAAGACTTACCTTCTTAGCTGTATGAAATTGCCTGGTTGTTTCCATCCTTTTTTTGTAAAAAAGTCTCACAAAGGCCAGTCCCCATTGTGAACATCCTCACCCACATTCATACAAACCATTTTTTCCCTTGTTCCTGAATTTTCACTGGCCACCAGACAAGTCAGGAGCAGCAGGGCAGGTCTGAGACCAACTGAACAGCCCTAGCTCTGTGAGTTACCTGGCCAGGCACTGTTGCAATGCAGCTCAGGTAAGGACCAGAGGTCATAAACTGAGCCTAAGCACAGCTCCCAAGCAGAGAGAAGCAGCCCTGGCAAAGCTTCTCACAGCCCTTATCACAGCAGCCTGAGTCAGTGTCACCACTACCCCAAGTCTGCAGATGGGGAGGGATAGAGTATGTCCTGGATGGAAGAGCAGGCCTTGAAAACACAGATTGATAGGGAAACAGAGACAGATTTGCCCAGCAGGAGGATATCAAGAGCAGAGCTTTGATGACACCAGTGCTATGTGAGGAGGGAGGCCTACACAGCTGAGGGTTCCCAGAGTGCTTACTGGCAGCTCACTATCAGCGTCAAATGTGGGGCTTTATGAACAATAAGAAGCTATAAAGAATCTCTTAGATTTCCAAATGCCTCTTTCTCAAGCCAGCTCAGCCTTGAAATTGCTAAGACCCATGCCAGGAGCAAGCTATGAAGCCATAAATAAGCTTGGTTTTTTACTAGTCTTATGGTTAATAATTACTGCAGTTTGGGCAAACAGCAGTAGTAGGCCCCACTAACAAGTTCCGCCTGGCCTTGTGCTGAGTTTCTGCCAGTTCCCTGTACAGATACTAATAAAGCTCAGGAGATATTATGATTGTCTCATTCCTTCAAACACTTATTGATTTAAATCATGTAGTTCTCAGTTGCAGCAGACACCGGGGAGCTGATGGTAAATCATCCTAACTCTGGTACTTGAGTTGACTGTAAATTTACCACATCTGGTAGAACTGAGCTGGCTATAAATTCTTTTAGTGCTCCTAAAGCTTGGCTGGCTGTGGAAAAGACTGCAGGTGTTGTACTACCCTATATTTGAAGTCGTGCTGGGAGTCAGAGCGCCTTTCTGTGCTTATTTCTCATTTAGACTCAGTGTGGCAGAGCCCCTTCCAAGTGTTAGGGTTCTCCTGTGCCATTCACTTAAAAAAAGCCCTACATCAACAAATGGTGCAGATCAAGATCAACATCAAACATGGCTTCAATCTCCTCTCCATTAGAATTCCATGCAGAGCAGCTCTGTGAGCGTTGGTTCCATTCTGACTATGATTTACACCATTGTGCCTTCAGGAATGTAAAAGTAAATCTCATCTCTGTGAAATGAAACCTTACCTCCAAATGCATAAATTTCCCACCTCTAGTGAGTGAAATGAGAACAGGTGCTTGGATAGATGAACATATGAAGCTGCTGCATTGAAATGAGGTGTGCAGGTGGATTAAGACAGTCCTTTCCACTGTGCTTCTGGTCACAAAGTAAGTCTATACAATATTAAGCAGTCAACATCCTAAATCAAAAAAAAATTTCCTGGTTTCAGCCTGAAAGGCAATTATTTCACACACAGTTGGTCATAATTTTTCTAGAGAAAACTTTTCTCTTGAAAGATGACTAAAATTCTTTTGTTTAAAATTATTCTTAAAAATTATATTGAATTTTTTGAAAAGGCTTTTGTTCTTCATAAAATGGTTAAAACACATGAATATTTTTCTAGTACTGAAAAATTTTATTAAAAAAAGGTATTTTTCTTTTCTGGCAAGACAGAGGAACTGTGAAGTCTCCCCCCCCATACTTCTTCTCCCTCATGAATTCTGTGTGAAGTGACAGTTTATCATGGAGAATCCCATGCAACCGATACAACTTCATTACTTTGACGTTAAGTAATTTTTCAGATAAATATGAAAATGTGATCTCACGGTTGCTACATGAAAGTGAGTCTACACTGCTGCCAAAGGTGTGATTTCCTGCACAGGGAAACATTCTTGCTCTAACAGTGAATTAGCTGCCTCGTGAAGCAGTAACATCGAGGTGACAAAAGCACAGAAGGATGACTTCTGTGAAGCCACTGGTGATCACAGGTATTTGATGGCAGCTTTTCACTGCTTTTCTCTCTCCTGCTTGATTCAGGCAGGTGTTGAAACCACCTGAGAATGCATGGAGAAGTGCAACCATAAAGCAGATGAGAAAAGTGATCTCCTCACCTCTCCTCCATCCAAGAACATGGGGCAGGACCAGCAGGGCAGAGCCAGCTTAAATGAGTTTCTCAGAGAAGATGCACCTATTGGGTAGCATTGCCTGAAAATACAGTGCTGCCTTCTAGACTCTCCTTTCCCAAACCTGCAGTGTTAGAAATATAACAATCTCTTGCTGTTTGCTGATTGCAAAATATTTTTGGAGTTTGAGGGTTTTTTGGTCTAGCTTTTAACAATTCTATTAGTCATTGCGCATATTTAGTCCTCCCTAACACCATGTTAGGATAAAAGCAGTGTTAACCATTCACAAGTAATGACAAATTGAAATTTGGGAGTTGACAATGCATTTTCTGTGAAAGAGAAGAAATTTCTATGGTTTGTCATATGCAACATTATAATATCAAATAAAGATGCAAATCTGATTCCATTCTCCTGTATTGGATTTGGGTGTTCCCTTTGCCTTGTTTTCTGTCCAAGCACCCGCTGATCTGCAGCCAGCCCTGCGAGGGACAGCCCATGGCTTCTCATCTCTGGCAAATCAGCCTCTAATCTCCTAAAAACAGGAACTGTGGGTGGGAACTGGCATCCAAAACATGTCTGAGGGGGAGTCAACTAATGGGTTGCATTTACTGATCACTCACACTGCATCCATGCCTGCTCTTTATAGCTAAGCAGCAAACAAGACTTGGGATTGTTATTGCCCCTTTGGACTCTAGCAAACTTTGAACTCTCAACTTCAGGTGATAAGCAAAGGGAGAAATCCATATCCTGGGGAGGGAATAACATGTCCTTTATCCCAAGTGGGTCTATCAATGAGGAGAGGATGAATAACATGTCTCAGGGCTTGGTGCTCATATCTCTGGACCCTGAGTGACTTTCCCTAGTGGCTGTGATGGTGTCACCTCTTGTCTCTGCACACTGAGACCACAGCCATGGATTGTGCCATAGCTCCTATCTCAGGGGTTGTGTGGCAGTAAATCTGCAATATATGAGAAAACTGTGGTTTAAACATGTTTCAAAATGGCTTTTTGTAGTCTCTTTGCTAACTCCTGCTTTCTTCTTCCCAAGACCCCCCACGACAAGTGTTATCCCATGCAGGAATGTCCTGGGAAGATGTCCTAAGGTGTTCTCATTGGACCTTGTTAACCCCTTCCTGTGATTGGGTGTTCCTGTAAGCCCCTTTAGACTTCTAACTGGTTACTGTGAGTCCTTCTAACCCTATAAATGTAACCCCCCTGATAACAGACGCTCTCTTGCCTCCTCTCCACGCCCAGTGTGCTGTCTCTGTGCCTGCCATGGAGCTACGTGGGTTGGAGGAGGGGAGAGCACTTCTCCCCTCCAGGCTCAGGACCTGAAGAAACCTCTGGTGCTGGAGTCCACCCCCCCATCCACTTAAGCCGTTGGAAATGGTTCCTCAGATGGAAATGGAACTAGAACTGGGCCGCCCCACGCCATGGGGGGAAAGAGATCCAGAACTGGTGCCACCATGTGAGGAAATGAATTTTACTGAACTCTTCTATGAAGATAGGTTGATTCGCAGGCGCAGAAGGGGGCGATTCTGTGTTCCTCGACGGCCCGAAGTTTAAGCGGTTCAGAGTGTTAGCAGACTGCAGCTGTTTTGAACACTTCATCAACCTTCCTGAGGCAGGTAGGAGCAAACTTCGGCAAATTCCCTAAACCTTTCCACCTGTAAACCTGTAACTACAAGAAGCGTGCATGCCTCTTTGAGAGAGAAAAAGAATGCTTAAATAACATATTTAATTCCATCGGCAAGTCATTTAATAAGACTGCTTTGCTAACCCGAAAGATAGTTCCGTTTCTAGCAAGGGACTCAGACCATGCCAGCATGGCGAAAAAAGGGTTAAAGCTGCTCGAAACAGCTCCGCAGCAATCCCCCGGAATCCCCTCCGCAGCAATCCCCCGGAATCCCCTCCGCAGCAATCCCCCGGAATCCCCTCCGCAGAATCCCCCCGGCCCCGCGCCACTGCTCCAGGTGAGGCCCCGACATCAGCCAGCCCTACTCCTACCGAGCGCAGAGACTTTCTTTTCCTCAGCTGACGTGGAAACCAGCCGCCGCGACCTCTGCCTGCCTTCACCGAGCCCAGCCCCGCTCCCGCAGCGCCGAGCCGCCCGGGGCGGGCCCCCGCAACAAACCGGACTGGACACCCGCGGTGCCACCGCCGATCCCACCAACCCCTCCTCCGCCCTGCTCCCACTGCTCTCAGCATCCCCCCGTCCCACCATGTGGCCGAAGTGGCCGCCGCAGCCCCTCTGGATGCCGGGACTGCCTCCGCAAAACAGAAGGAAAGAACCATTTGGACGCTAAATTAACAGCAATAAGTAGTTTGTTTGTTTCAGCAGTAAATCGAAGGTTTGTGTAAGGGAAAAACTTGGTGCTGAGTACTAAAGGTGGTACAAATGAAATAGTTCATAAGTAGTGAAGGATGGTTGGAAACAAGGGAAAGAAAAATGGTAAATAACGTGTGTCAAAAGAGTTGTGTAAAACATGTAAGATCAGAAACAACAAACTACCTATACCTGTTTATAATTACATCAATAAAAACCTTTTTAAATTCTGTTTTATAGGGACACCCTAAAACACTACGAGAACGGGGTAAATTCAAAATCCATATATCAATAAAGACCTATTTAACTTTAAGGAATAAAAAAGGGTGAGGGTTGTACTTCCCTTCTTCAATGAGCCCTTTGAAAATGTTAATTTTTTTGCGGAACATCTGTTTATATACAGGGAATGTCCATGTGCGGACTTTGTTCAGCAGCTGCAGCCTTTGAGCACTTTGGATGGGGATCCTGTCACCTGAAGAAATACTGTTCAGCAGCCAGATTATACACCATGAACCATTCCTTCAAGGAATTTATCTTAAACTCATTTTAGGCTAACACAGCCAGAGCCATATATTACAGCAAGGGGCAGCCAAACCTTTAGATCTGCTAAGTGTGATTGAAACACATTACTCACTTTCTCGCTACCTGGACAGTTTTATCCAAGAAAACAACTGTTGGGAGGAAAACACTTGGTCATAGAGCAATGTTAATGATCCAAAAGGTCTCTTTGCCCTGACTTCAAACTGGAGCCAGCTGCCAGAGGAAAAATCTCAGAAAATTAACAGTTCTATGGTACGCTCAAATCTTTTTCAAGTAAAAAAAAATTTCCTTAGGACATTAAAGTATTAACAATATTGGCAACATCAGTACAAACCCGGGTATTGACTCTCTGTTGATACAATGTTTTTTTCTTGATGATAAGACCATGTAAGATATCTTCTCATGATGTGAAGCAGGCAGCATTTTGGGATGAGCAAGCCTACAGAGAAGGCAGACACAGTGCATAAGGGTCCATTCATTTGTTAAACAGTATTAACTAAAGACTCACCAGGGCTAGAGTGGGAGGTTGTGAGGAGTGAGAGTCAAAGATGTTCCTCAGAGGATGCAGACACCCTGCATAATCTGATATAACCAGCATAATGGAATTTAGAGAAGAAGATTCCTGGTATCAGAATATTGGTGGGAGTTCTTGTAACCAAGAAGAGGGAATAATATTTTCCTTTCTTTTTCCAAGTACTTAAACAATGTCCTAATCTTAATTCAGCAGAAGTATTTTTGGTTATTTGGTTGGGTTTTTTTTAATCAACCCATGTTTCCTCTAGACTGAAAGAGATGCTTCTCAGTGGGTATTGTGTAGGTGAGAAAAACTTCAGATTAACAGCAAATTTTCCTTTCCCTGGGGAAAAATCAGTAAAGACATGCTCTTGAAAGCAGCATTCCTCTCTCCTTGTGCATTCACAACAGTATAAGAAACAAAAAGCATCTCCTTTTCCTACTTTTCTGCCATTAGTAACTTCCTAGTTACTAAACTACAGCAGTTCTGCCTTAGTTTAGTGCTAGGAAGGTCAAGAGTCATATCTTTTAAATAGTAGATAGTATAACATCCTCATGATATGGCTCTTTGTCTTTTAGTCTAGATATTAATGAAACAATCTCTCACCTTCAAAATGGAGGCACTGTTTATATTCCTTTTTTAAATAATATTTAAAAAAATATGTCCAGTTTTAGATTTGTCACATTACCACACATTGATCCTGTAAACTGGAAAAAACCAGCCCAACTATCAAACTTCCCATCTGATAAAACCAAACTGATAAATCAGGCTTGTTCTATGCTATATGAATAGAAATGGCATTGTTACACTTTGGGGTGAAATAATATGGTATGACTCCAGAAACAAAAATAAAAAATAGAAGTGATTTTTAGATTAAAAAAATCACGTTAATAATACTTTCCTCATACAGGGGAAAAAAATGATTTTGTGTTTGAGTCTGATATTGCAGGAGCAGATACCACTGATCCACTCATTCATTTCCTCTTGCTCTCAGACCGGAAAGGTCTGCCAGCGGGATGAATACGGCTTGTTAGCATTCCTGAAAGTGCCTCCGTGCTTTGTTACCAGGAAACAGTAATGAAAGTATAGGGATGCCAGCTTGATGAGAGGGATACAGGGCAGTGGCATTAATCCGTGCTTTGCAGACACAAGATCTCTATCATTTGCACACACGAATGCCGGCACAGCCTGTTGGAAATCTCTGAAGATTCTTCGGCTAATGGTCTTGTAGAAACTTATAACGTTATAAAAGGTTAAGCCAACAACAGCATCATGTCAGAGGTTTGAAAACCATCCTCTACCATGTAGAATACAGTTTTATGGGGTATATATTCATGCATAAAGTGTTTGTGCTGTTTGCTTTTTAGGTAAGGAGAGTACGGCAGAGGTGACTTACATCTGCGAGGATCAGGGACCATCGAGTGTTGTCATTAGTTATTGAGCCAAAGAATGTTCATATTTTGACTCCAAGAGGCAAAGAAATTAGGATGAGGCTTTTCTAGATAGGCTTGCCTGTGAGCAGAATTAAGACAAGACCTCTTGTACGACCCAGGGGTGGAGATGCAGTGGTCAGGATCTCATCGGAATTTGAGGAATTTTATTTTTGTTTCTTGCATGCAGTATCTTCTAGTGGGAAAGACACAAGGTTGATATTTACACATTCATTAAATGGTAGAATTTTTAAGTGGTTTGTCCCACTTTATGTTGTTCTTATTTTCAAGGGATTAGCATCAGTTCCTAGTAAGGGTAATGAAGCCTTGAAAGTCTTATGATTCTGCTGCTTTGATTTTTACCACTACTTCAGAATAATTTGTTCAAATTTTTGTGTTAGGAATATTGTGAACTATAGCAAAGACTTCAGAGAAGTTAAGATTTTTTTACTTCTTGCAAGTCAGGGGGCTGCATATAATGAAAGTCTGAGCCTGCTTTTAGTCCTTCTGTTCTTTAATCTTCAAGAAAAGCAATCTTTGTGTATATGCTACTTCTAAAATGACTCTAAATGTGCTTTGTAAATGCTCAGTGGAAAGTATAGCTCAGCTGAAACAACACTGGGCATAAGAACATA